ACGGCAAGAGAGAGGAAGATGCTTTACAGCCAGGAGAATACTGTAATGATGGTTAACGAAAGCTTGGCATGAGTTTGTTACACTGCAGGTCCAATCGACCTATGCAAGAAGCCGATGGCTGTCGATGGGCTGAGCACTTTGCAGAACGCCTCAATAGGATTGGTCCTCCGCTAAATATCCAGATGGGAGAGGAAATTCGAAAAGACCTAGATGTTGACTGCGTACCACCTTCGATCGGAAAAATCAGTCAGGCCGTGCGAACTTGCAGAAGCTCGGAAACCTGTTAACGAGATGAGATGCGGAAGGAAATCCGGAAGTGCAAAGGTGAAAATCTTCTCCACTTGGTCAACGCATTTGGCAAAGTCGGTGATCCTTGAAGGCTGGAGAAAAGGCGTGATAACGCCAGTCTTCAAGAGTTGCAGTCACGCCGACTGTACCAGCCGTCAAAGAGTCACCTTCCAGCCGGTGATAGAGGTGGTCTTCATTCGAATCGTCCTTGAACGACTGAATGATTCCATCCATCGTTCGCTGCAAACGAACCAAATAGGCTTCTGAAGTAGGCACACATGCATGGACAATATAATCTAAAGAGAATCATCGAATTAGTACCAGAGTTATCTTTCCTCGACATGCGACTCTCCTGGACTTCCAGACAACTTTCTGATACGTTATCCGGCGATGATAAACTCGGGAGAAGATCTGTACAGGGGGACTAAAGGAACACTTTCGGATTGGCTCAACACTACAGTGAATTTCCTAGGCGAGGCGTTTTTATCTTGTTATTCAACATCATGGCTGACTGCGCCATGCAGAGGGTGTCCTCTCAAATAACACTGAGAGCTTAACCATTATTAGCAACGCAACTCGAGGTACGTTGCATTATTCCTAACGGGTTTAGAGTAAGCCGGTAATATCGTATTGTTGAGCGGTTGCGCAAAAGTCCTACAGATATTCAATGAAATAGTGTGCAACACAGCTATGATAATGGGACTACATGTAAATGGCAAAATGACAAAGATTATAAGAGGAACCACCGATACCAGAAGTCCAAGGATATTTATGGAATGGCATTACAATGGGAGGTAGACTATTTCAAATACTGTGGAACTGTGTTGGCTAACAATGGCGATATTCTTAGAGTGTGATCGTACCACCGGAGCACGTACAATTGGGTGCTAATGACCACCGGTCTGAGAAAGTTCTCACATGAACTGAGAGACCAGCGAATGACTTGGTTGAGCATAAGTGACCCAGAAAGAGATTATGAATATGTTCAAAACTTTCCTCGCTTGGGAACCGTGCA